TTAGTTAAGTATATTTTACAGTTTTTGTCGTTTAATAAATTTTTTGAAATCTTTTTATTATATATACTTTCTATATTCATAATTTCTACATTCATAAGTTACTCTTATGTGATTGATAACATATTATTAGAATAAATTAAATAATGTAAATTAAATATTCTTAACTCTGTCATTATTATTTATAAATTTATGTCCGAAATAATTTCAATTTATTTTAATTTATCTCAGAACAGAGTAAATCTAATTGTACTCGTAATTGGCTTTATAATAGTAATTATGTTAAATTTATATTATTTATTTTCTACGTATACTGTCGCGAAATATTTCGGACTTTTTATTTTTTTAATACTTTCATTAAATAGTTACAAAAAATTAATATTTTCGAAAGTAAATACACAGTAAAAAAAATTTATGTATTTGTGTTGGAAACGGTCCACTCACGTTTGTGTTATGTAACAGTTTGTGCTGAATTTTTTAATATATTCGAGTGTTAATTTAACATAATGTGATTATGTGTTATTTAAAGGTTTTTTGTGAAATTGATATTCAATATTTTTTAGTGTCAAAATGACACAATTTATAAGTAAGTGAACAAGTAACATAAAAATAATGTGTTTTAAAACATAAATTCTAAAACAAATGAATGAAATATGTGTTAATTTAACATATCATAAATACTAATTTTCTGAAAAAAATATGTTCCCACGATATGTTTACAGGTTGTGTCGATGTTATCTTTCTTTGTATTTATTCTCTTACATAATATTTGTGATAATCTAACATTCTAACAAATTCATCTTGTGTAAAATTAATTCAAAAATTTGATTGGACCGTTTGGGTAATAATTTAGTTAGAACATTAAATAATATCTCTATCACATAATTTCACTGGATCGAAATTTACTGAGATAGAAATTGATTCGACACTAAAAGAAAAAAAGGATACAGACAAATAATTTCTCCTACGTCAAATATTCCACGCTCGTGTCAATGAATTATTGACTAGCGCCGAGCGTCGCGACGCTCTCTTCGTAGGTGAAGGTGAGCATCAAGAGTATACGAGGAAACGTTTCGGAAAAGCTATGGGAAATTACGAAGGATTTCGACGTGTTGATTCGCGAAAATTGGACAGAGCAGGCATTGAGCGAGCTGAAGGTATATTTTGTGTTTTTTCCTATAATTTTAGATCATTTTTACTTATAAAACAAAAGTCGAATTTAAGAACCGCTTCTAATTTATGATGACTTGAAAAGTTATTAAAAAAATAACACGCAAATACAAAATATTACTTTTTTCTGTTAAACTTGATTCGATTCGACAGAAGATTATTTGTTCACGAATAATGCGCAATGCAGAAATTCGAGGATTGCCTTTTGGAAAAAATGGAGAAGGAAGGATGGGATGGCAACGAAAGGGAGGATAAATTGCAATGGACATTTTCCGGTGCTCTCTTCTATTCCATTATCGTCATCACAACAATTGGTAAGTCGATATCTGTAAAGTACTCTCAAAATTGTTGATATTAATAAAATTATATGAATTACTAAAATGAAAGTGAAACAAGTTATTTTCTAAAAGTTTGTTTCCTAATTGGGACATTTTGCTATGTATTATTTGTAAATTTAACTTTTTATTACATTAAATGTATATATGTATATGTATTTGATATATTAAACAATAATAATAATAATAATTCAGAGTGATTTACTTCTTAAGAAAAACGGAGAAGTTTATTATTATTATTATTTTTTTTACTCTCTCTCTCTTTCTCTCAGAATTATTTTTGTCAATTTTTAATATAGTCTATAAAGGAAGAATGCATATTTAAGTTCGGAAACGGGACATTACTAAAATTTACAATATAAGAAATTCATAATTTAAACTTTCAACGCATTAACTTAAATCAATTATCGAAGCAAAAAGTTTGTATTAGTATTTTAATTCCATTTATTATTGTGTTATACGTACAATTGCTCAATGAAAAATTGGAAAATATATTGATACATGTACATCTACATATTGATATACAATACATAGATATATATCTTTCTCCATATCTCTGTCATATCTTTGGCATTATTATATTATTAAGAATGAAGAAATATCGATATAACAGGTGTTTCGTTAAGAATTTACTGATCATTATTTTCTAGTATCTTCGAATGTCTTTGGTTTCTCATTCGTCTGCGTTTGATTCTTGCCCAATGACCTCCCGTAGATGACATAATCGTCAGATTCTGGATCGTAGCCGTATGGCCGTAACGACTCGAACTCATTGCGGTGACCATAACCGTTGCTATAAGGTCCTGAGTAATAATCGAAAGACGGATGTTGGTCATGTTGGTAATCGCCGCTACCGTACGGTCTTCGATTACCGTAATAATTCGATGTCGGTGCGAAACCATTCGGTCTGTACCTGTACGGTGCGCCCTAGAAATTATTACTTTAAGGTCAATATGAAAATCATAGAAAACTTTCGAATTACGTAAAAATGATAAAACTTGAACTGAAAATTAATAAAATGGCAATATTTTTCTTTAACTTTTCCAAGATAATATTTCAGAAAATATAGTTTCAAATATATGAGCACGTTAAATAATTTGGAAAGGCATGAATAGATTTAAATTCTTTTCGTTACAGAGTAATATGGGTAATGATGCCCTCCAGACAATCCTGGGAATCTTTTGCTGTTGAAACAACAGTATTTCTTCTCATTTGCGCAGTGGCCCTAAAATCATCATTAGACAAATTTTGTCAAATTTCTCGGATTTGTAAATTTTCGAGTAACAAACTTTCAATCGAACTCACGAATTTCAATCCGGGTGATGGACAATTAAAACTGTATCTGCATTTGCAAGTGTCAAACTCACGATAACGGGGATCATCTCTGATCCATGGTGGTACTGAATCCAAAATACCGTCGGGTCCATTTGGTTCGAAACGAGCAGGTCTGAAATAGTAATGTCCTTACATTTTTTGCATTGAAAACAGATATTTAACATTTACAATATTTACTTTATGCAAAATAAAATTTTAATTAGAGAAAAGCAAGTCGTAAAAGACATTTTTGCATAAGTTGTCGCATAATTGACGATATTTGAGATTTGAGAAGAAGTAATTTAATAGTGGAATTTTACAGATAAACTTATACATGAATCTAATACAATTTATGGAAAATATGTTGTTTATCAGTAACTCAAAATATCTGCTATTCTTTATGAAATATTATTATGGCTGAACTGTGCCTCCTATGCAATTAAATATACAAATGGGAATATCTAAATTAAGCGATCTCTGTGGAGTCGTAATGCTATATATTTTAACTGGATCATTGGAAATTTAATATAGAGTGAGCTAGAGGAGAGTACATTGGGAAGTCGACGGAAAATTCCGATTTTCCAAGATTAATAAATCTACTTGAAAAATGCGATTTAAAGGGACTCTAATAAGATTACATATATCATGCCGAATTTATGAATAGTCTTGGCAATTTTGAAAAGTCAACTAATTAATTATTGCGTATAAACACGAAATATTTGAATATTTAAAAACTGTTCATTCTGCTGTAAACGGAATGAATGAAATACCTGCCAATTATTCCCGTTGGTCCACCGGGACCCACGAGAACGCCATTATTGCCTTGATATGCTGGTACGAGCGGTCTGCTATTGGGACCGTAAGGGCCCGTATTTTGAGGTCTAAATCCTAACTGAAGGCCGTTGTCGAAACCATCTAAATATTCAGAAGGCTCGTATATCTGATACCTAAAAGTTGCATCAGCGAGAAGCTATTACTTAAGTGTGCTACAAGTACATACAGATTTCCCTAAAGCTGACTGTCTGATTTAAAACCGACATACATATTATCCTTTTTTTAATTTAAAAATACCATTAACGTATAATTATGCAATTCTTCTTCCTATAAAGAACAGGATGCTGTAGCATCTTCACAAAAGGATGTACTATAACGAAAAATATTGTATATTTGGCATGAGACGTTTCTTGATAAAGTGTATAATTTAATCAATATGATAGGAATATTCAATAATATAATAGATAAATAAAATTCGGTAAAAAATTTAAATAAAGTATAATTACACATAAACGTGTAATTACATATTAAACATTGTTACATAATAAATCATTGAGACATACCTGGCATCGATGTCTCGGTTGATCTTTGATTTATCATCATTCCAAGTCCAAGATTTATCATTCTCAGCGGTTGCTGTCGCGATCGCGGCGAAAAAGATCAAAAGAGGAACACGCATTTTTATTATCTGCCGAATGGCAGAATCAAGACATTTAATGCAATACCTCTCAGTTGTAATGTTGAATGCCAGAAAAGAAAGACGTTTGGGCACGCATAACATTCGAAGTCGACTAAACGAGAGTGAAAGTGAATCACGTCTTTATATATGCATTGTAGGATGGTGAACGCATCGCTACATTTCGAGGTCTTTTTGGTTGATCATTATTTGCGATCAATGGACTCTGTATTCCTTTGTTTTAAGTAAATTATCCCAAAAATTTGGCTGCTTCACGCAATATGCAATATCATATTTTTTAATGAGCAATTCTTAGTAAAAATTTGAATTTAAAATATTACGCGTTCATAAATACAGACAATTGACATTTAAATTATTCAGTTATGTCTTTATAAACATTGCTAATATTTAATAATTGATATTTTAGATTTGTATGCCAATTCGTAAGAATCTTCTATAATTAATCTTTTAACTAGCAAACAATTTTTCCAAGTACTTAACTTTTAATATATCCTATGTATTATTTTACGATAACACATTTTTGTCAACCATTTTTTATTTGACACTTTAACAGTCATAATCTTTTCAATGCGCAAGATGTATACGTTACAAAAGAACGTCGTATTTTTTTATTTAAATAAATATTTTTATTTCCATCTTCCGCTAGGAACACTTGCTTTTTTCATATTCAGTAGAAGTGTTGCTCTAGCATGGAATTTTAAAGTGGGGGAAGAATATTTTTTTAAATCTTAATTTTTTGTAAAAATAATAGTGAGCAATTCGAATTTTTTTATAGTTTCTTTGATGGTAAGTAAAATATCAACATGAATAACTTTAATAAAATTTAGTCTACAATGTAAATGAAATTTTCTGCATAAAACCTAATCGCGAAATAAGCTTACCAACTGATTTACAAGCGTAATTTATTGTACGATGTAACGTAGATCCGGTCAGTTTTGAGGCCGATTCCGTTCCTTCAAGCGCCCGTCCTTCGAACTGGGAAAACCCAGTTCTTTGACTTCGGAGAAGAGAAGTCGCTTTAGTGTGTACACGCTCTTTGACCTCCTTCTTAAAGTAAAGTTGAGACACATGGCGTAACGTTAATTCCCGCATCTTCGTCTTGCTCGACAGCAAAATTACCACCATTAAATATTTTCAGCCTTCACTTTTGAAAAATACATCCTTTATTAAATTAAATTTGCCTATAAATCCGTATCATATATATATATATATATGTCAAATAAACTACAGATCACGAGCACTTATAAAATAATATTTTTATTTCGTTGCTAATTTCCTCTTGAAGTTGTACTATTTTGTAATTGATACATCAATTTTCTATTTTATTTTACTATATACATATGTATATATGTATATATATATGTGTGTGTGTATAATATATTTTTTGTTGATAAAATATTAGAGATGGACTTCTATATTTTAACAACTTAATTTATCTCAGATTAGAAGTTCGTTTATTTTAAAGATCTTTTATCAGAGTCTGGCCACAAGCAATTTTGTTAAAATTCTACGACAGAGAAAGATATTGTATAATTTCTTCCTGTAGATACATCATTTCATTTTAATTTATATATACTATTTTACTTTATAACTTTAATTAAGATTATTACGAGATAGTATAAATTAGAGTGAGATTTTATATATACAGGAAGAAATAATAGATATACCTTTCTCTCTCGTAGGATTTTGATAAAATTGCTTGTGACCAGACTCTGATATAGAGTCTCTAGTTCATTTTATAAATGAAACATAAAAGAACAGTAGAAAATTTTCTCATAAACTCTTTTGAAAATATGATTTTCTGTCAGTTAACGAACTATTTTGAATGTAAATGTGCATCGTTTGCATTTCTAAAGAAAGGGCAAGCGTGTCAAAACAAATGCAAAATGCTTTTATTTCGTGGCTGCTTTGAAATTCATTCTGGAACGACATTCTTTTATGAGATTAAACGCGAGAATTTAAACAGTGGAATTTTATATTCCGGAGCAAAGCGGCTACGAATATACTAACAAATATACATTTTTTTATACAAAATCCAAATGTGCAAATTGTAACTGCTCGCTTTAAAAAGGAAAATTGAATTTAAATTGGTTAAACTGGGGTTACTTTGGAAATCTAATTCAAATTAAGTGACCTCCTTCCGAACGAGTGCATTGGATTAAGCACTAAAGATGAACGACGATCGATACTTTAACTCATTTAAAATATTCATCATTATATATTGTGACATATGTTTACATGCACAAATATAATATATCCAATTAACATATATTTCAAATATTTAATTTTTAATTCTAATTATAAATTTGTTATAAATTTTTTATGGATTAAATTTAAATAAATTTTTATAAATAAAGGAAGCATTGAATCGATTAATAGTAAAATAAATAATCTATAGTAATAAAAATTATTTATTGATTTATGTATAAGCAAACAAAAGGAAAGGAGAATATATAATATATTGATAAAAAAATAATTACATAACATCATTAGATATTTTTATAAGTTAAATACTTACGATTGGGAAGAAAACTCTCTGATAAGATTATATTTCAATTTTTTTACCAAACATAGGTTTTCTCTTCTACCAAAGTTTTTCAATAAGCTTCTACCAAAGTTTAACAATAAGTAAATGTCTTCAAAATGCAAAATCAAATTAAACTTTATAACCTTTAACATCGTAGCCTGACAAAATATCTTCAGCATTTCGAGAAACTTGTCGTGTTCATTTCGTCGAATTCATTTCGTCGCCGGAAAGAACATTCTTTTGTCCTTTTAATTAATTTCCTAACATGTAATCCTTTTAATTTTCTGCTATATCGTAAATAGAATATAAAAAATGCGTACTTTGATCATCCATCGCGACTTTTGTCCTGTTTGTCAATCCTATTATGAAAAATTATTATATAATAGTTACAGAAAATTAAAAAATCTAATTTAATCATATGTATATATACAGGGTGTCCCATTTTAAATAATGCATTCAGATTTCTCGAAAACTATGGTAGATATGGAAAAATGTTTCAAACAAAAGTTGTATGGTTTGTAGGAGGACATAAGATGATACCATTCATTTGACCTTGGGTGGCGTCGTTAAAGTCAAGTCAAGGTCACATTGATTTTTTTTAATGGAACACCCTACTTTTGATGCCAGAATTCAATAGCTGGTATCAAGAGCTTTTCAAAACACTATAATAAAGTTGTTTTTCATTAAGTACTTTTCGAGTTATAAGGCTTGCAAATTACAGTACCGCCGGCATTACCATTACGCAAGATGTTCGATTGATGGCTAAAACCTCTCGAATGTTGTTCAGGATCATGTCCTGGATAACATTTATCAAGATCAAGGCTATTGGAGATTATTCCTCTTATTTTCATTTTTGCACTAAGAATTAATTTTTTCATAAAAATGAAAATAAGAGGTACAACCTGCATTGATTTTAATCTTGATAAATTATCCAGAACATGACAATTATCCTGAACAACATGACCTGACCTTAACGACACCATTCAAGGTCAAATCAATGGTACCTTCTTCTGTCCCCCTCCAAACCATACAACTTTTGTTTGAAACATTTTTCCGTATCTACCATAGTTTTCGAGAAATCTTAATGCATTATTTAAAATGGGACACCCTGTATATATGTATATGCAATATTATTTTTTAAATATAAAGTATGTGTCTATATATTTTATGCATGATACGTTTATTTAAAAAAAATTGATGTCTCACATCCAAAGGAAATGTCAATGTATTCTCTCGTAATCTCAGAAATGTTTCCGGTTTGTAACTGCGTAAAAATTAGCTTCAGCGAAATTAGATATGACTCATTGAGAAGAAATGAAGGTTTATCGAAATTTTTAGTAGATGAATGTTGCACTTACCACGATCGAGCAAATTATTCCTCGACAAAAATTCATTTCTTCGACAGACTCTCGCGACGTGCCTGGCAACTTCCTCCCTTTATATATTTTTTCTTTTTTGAATAATTTCCTGCCATCGATTATGCGACCTCTTTTCTCATTTTCCTGCGCTATCCCTCTCTCTCTTTCTCTTTCTCTTTCTCTTTCCGTGATTATTTTCTCTTCTCGAAATAAGAATGTTATATCGTGCAAGAGTTAAAAAAAAATGAAGAATAAAAGCGAGATCTCGCAATGCGCATAGATCGCAAAGTTTTTTTGACGTCTTAGGATTCTTAAAGAATTCATATATTCACCGAGAAAACGGAGTTTTTACCTCACATCCCAGATACTTCCCATCCTGGTTATATATACGATTGCATAATGCACAGTACTATATGCTGCACCTTATGTTGTATACAAGGGAGATTCTTCTTTTCTTTTTGACAATTTCAATATAGAAAAAAATTTACCGAACTCTACTTTTTATAATTAAAACAAAATCGAATAAAGAGAGATAGCTATTGCTTTAATACTGATCGCTTCACCATAATTACATATCATAAAAATATTCTGCGTCACAAAATTTTTTTATTGGACAAAATCGTAAAATCAATCTCGCTCAAGAGGCATCTAAATTGCCTTTGTCACACATTTTGCCTCGTCGTAATAAATGGCTTCATTGGAGTAAAATTACGAAATTGGATCACCATCTTATTTTCACGAGTGCGGATAAATCCGTTCTTTCGATAAAGTGGAAAAAAACTTGTTATAGGTACATTTGGATTAGGTTTCTTGCAATAAATAACTTCTGCCAATGAAGAACTAACACAATAACACAAATAGAGTTTATCTTGTCTTATATTTAAAATGATAGGCCTTTTTAGACATTTTTGTTCAAATATAAAATATTATAAATTAATTCTGTTCTTATTAAAAAATATTTAACCCTTAGTACACACGATTGGGTTACCTCATTCGTGTCCTGCGCATTTCTTTTCTTTGAAATACTAAGAGCATTTGGCCAAATTCCGGTCTCTCTTCTTCCTAAAAAAAGTTTGGCATTTAGAGAACAAGTTTTGTACGTTGCCGGTCTCAATTCATGTGTATCCTTTGATTAGAATAACTCGGAAGTTCACTTCTGGGTCACAAATGACCCATCATGTATACAGAGAGTGTATTTT